TTTTTATCACTACAGCCTGATCTTTAATAGTAGATGCCTCTCTCAAACACTGCTTCATTGTGTTTAGTGCCGAGTGTGTTCGGCCACAATACGATTGACTCTACAGGTGAGGTCTGTGTGTTGGGCTGAACACAAGATTGTGTGTGTGTGTGTGTGTGTGTGTGTGTGTGTGTGTGTGAGAGAGAGAGAGTGTCCAAGTCGGTTTCCAGAAAATGGTTATTTCGCAAATCAAGAATCATTTTCATCCAAACCCTGCCAGAGAGCTCCTCTTTAGGTGGTCGAGAACGGATCTCAAATGATACCCGAAACCACTTGATGGTTGCTCTGTCAAGTCTTCGTCGTCAGTTAGGAACCTGTGTGTGTGTGTGTGTGTGTGTGTGTGTGTGTGTGTGTTTGCTCTCTTTGATACCAATCTTTCATTTGAAAAAAATGTTTCTAGTATCTGTAAAACCAATTTTTTCCCATCTTTCTAAATTACGTCATATTCTCTCAATGACCGATGCGGAACAATTAGTTCATGCGTTCATGACATCAAGGCTAGGCAAATGAGCGGCCGGAGTGTGTTAAGGGTTTTTTCTTAGAACGGTGTCGTGTTAGCGGGCCTTAACAATCTTTGCAGCGGAAGTGAATTAATAAAAACTAACTTTAGCTGGACAATAACTTTATTCTAAAGCTGCTGTAAAGCCAAACAATCTCTGTTACTTTAATTTCTTATTATCACTGTAAATCTGCCTTGAAACAATCAAGTCAAATAAGGGTGACTTGACTAAATTATATAGACGACTGGCTGATTCTGGCTCAGTCGCAGGAGTTGGCATGTCGTCCTTGGCCATGTGTGTTGGTACCCGACCAGAGAACTTTGTTCCTGGGGGTGGTGTGGAACTCGATCACGATGTGGGTACGAATGTCTCCTGCATGTGTCGTGTCCATCTTGGCCACGGTGACCAGGATATAGCTAGGCCAAGCCATCACTGTGCTCAAGGCATCCAATGGGATTCCATCCAGCCTGATGCACATGAGAGCCTTACAGAGGGGCTTTTCCCCAATGGGGAACCCTTTCCGTATGATCAGGGTTACGCGTCCCAAGGTCCTGTGCTGGGAGCCATGTCATGTCAACGGAAAGCCGTTTCGAGAG